CAAATGTTTACTTTTGACCTCTATAATGCACCAAGGATATTCACTTTTACATCGGAAACCACCCCCAAAGTTTGAAATTGAAGCATTATTTCGACTAGTTATGCTGTACACAGACACAAAAACAAACATAAAAAAAAAAACACACATCATTGTAAAATCAATACATTCATCACTTCGTTCAGAATCTAAAATATGTATGTTGTCTTTAATTTGTATTTTACCTACAAAATCTAATTATATAATTGTAATTATTCATATCTGTTTATTTCTATTTATAATACGATAATCAAGCAAAACTCACAATACAGTGGAAACGTCATGGAATCGTCTCTAGTCTCAACAAAATCGGTTCGCAGATACATATATTATAAGATATAAATTATAAAATATATAGATACAATGTTTTTCTCTGATATATTTAGCCACAAGTTCATTACGATTATTAAGTATTTTAATTCTGAAAATGTATTAACTATAAATTGATAAATATTAAAATTGTAATTTTTATAAATCTTCTTAACGTAAACTTACAGGATCATTTTGCAGTATCGATGAATGATTTAAATTAATCGAAGAAATTATGCGTTAGTTTAACGGTTATTACTTATAAGTAATTATTAATCAACAAATCATAGTGATATTATGCCGGTGCTTTTACAGCGTGCGTTTTGTAAACAAAACTATTATCGATCTTTATAAATATCATTTTAATTTCAAGTTTGTGTTGATGTGGTTCCGGCGATGGCGTTACACGTACTTATAGACTATAATAGTGTATACATGCATGCTAGCTATAGATTGGTATGTGCAAAGCGAGTGAAAGGAATTACGTATACAAGTGTATTGCAATATAAGAAATTATAAGAATTTTTTTTATATACCGTCATCAGATAATATGATCTCAAATTCTCGGGAATACGTCATGATTCATAAATATTGTAGGTATCCCAAAAACAGTCGAACAAGCTACGTCCTCAGAGAAAGTCTTAAAAAACGTCGAAATGTCATAAACTCTTAAATCGAAAATATACAACGCATCTATTAGATATAGGCGTGTTGTAGGAAATAGGTATAGATACTACGCAATACGCATTATACGATTGTTACGATGGATCATTATTTTTGTTACGTCATAGAAAAGTACAACATGAAATAAAAAAAAAAAAACTAACGCATAACCTATAGGTATAGACATTTATATAGAAACGAATTATTCGTATAAAAGTATTATGAAATTGGTAATGTTTATGAATGTTTTATATGTACATTTTTAACTATTACTTTCAAATAAAACAATACTTATTTCATCGTTTTAAAGCAAATAAGAGTGTGTGTGTGAGAAAGCTTATTCAGACGAAAATGTTAAAATAATAAAGAGCGTAGTAAATAATAATATATTGTGAGCATACATAGAATAGAGAAACTAACGCTCCCGCGTTGCTATAGAGTTTTATTCAATTCTTTGTGTATATTTCTCAAGCGCTGATTTTAGTTTTTATATAATATAATAAATAATATGTGACGATTATTCGGAAGTATTATATTATTATTATTTTGCGGATATACAATATACCGCACTAATCACTATATAAGTATTATAAGTGCAGCAGACATAGACGAACCTACGGCAAGCTACATATTTTGTGCATGAGCTTGCAATAGCGTCCGTCCTTATACCTCCAAACAAATCAGTTATAGATTCCTCGGTGCATCTAGAGGTGTATTCGTGTATTTAGGCACAGGGCCCTATAGCGACAACATTGGAGGGCGGCAAATTTCAACGATATTTTTTACAAAATTATAAAAAGTATTTTTCATTTGATGAAATCATACTCAACTAATTTTTGTTCGCTCAAAATTAATCATCTATCTACATGTAGTGGCTACAACTATATTATACACATACGCAACACAGTACGACTGTACGAGCACATAGATAACAAAACACGCGCGTTCAACGCGGGTTCGATTTCTTATAATATAGACAGAATTTTATTGTATGTTGACATGTAATAATTAATTTGAAAATAAAATTGTTGGAAGGATGAAGGGGGAGGAAGGAGGCGAATTGGAAAGTGCCTATAGGCGGAAAAACCTTAAATACGCCACTGCAGGTGCATCGTAACTGCGCATGCATCGTGGCCATTTTATAATATATCACCTAAACTTCACATACAAAGTTTTTTTTACATCTTAACTCCACAAATATTTTTTAAATTTTTATTACAATATATTATATATAAAAAAACATTTACATCAATTAAATTAAATTATTAATTTATAAGAGTCTATCAGCATATAGTTATAAAACCGATTTAGCGATAACTCGGTTTATTGATAAAAATGTAGCAACAATGTTTTCACAATGTTTTCACAATTTTCAAACAATTTTATGGCATGCGGATCTTCAATGTTAAATATTTTAAGAATGTGGATGTGCGGTACATGCAGTTACGGATTTACAAAATATTTTAGAGGAGCGATAATTGTATTTATTTTAAAATTATGGGTGTTTTTTATTTACCTATATATTTATTTATTTTGTGTAAGGGTTTACACGATAGTTAATCAAAATAATGCTTCGATGTTCAACTTCAGTAGCTTTTCCGGTGTGAAAATGAATCTAGTTGGTGCATTGAAGAGATCAAAATTTAAAATTCACAGTTATTTTCAAAAGTGCGCGCCCGGAAAAAACAAAAAAACGCAAAATCGGTTTTTGGATTTTGGTGTACACCTAAAACAAATTACCGTACATACAATTTTCACTGAATATTTACATTAACATTTGCTATACACCTTCAAATTTTCAAAATATTTTGACTTATGGTTATTTGACAGTGGTTGTTGAAAAATATTATAAGTACATTGTCACAATTTATTTTTTATATAAGCATTTGAATTTCAAATTTTGAGGAAATGCGTAAAAATCACGAAAATATGTAGATCATTTTGAGTTAAAATTCATAAAAATATGTGTCTATTTTAATGTAAGGTTAGAAAATTCAATACACATAAGACATAACGTATAATATACGTATAGTAACAATATAACATATAATAATAAACTTATTCTTCATAATTTCGACTACTTTTTTCAAATAAAAAATTTTTAGTAAAATTAAACTTTTATGAGCGTTTGAATTTCCAATTTTTACGAAATAGCGTAACGATAACGATTTATCCTCAAACAATTTTAAATATTTGTTATTATTCAAAAAAAATTTAGCGAAACCTCAAAAAAAATTTTTAGTAAAATTAAACTTTTATGAGCGTTTGAATTTCCAATTTTTACAACACTGGATATTTACATCAATTTCTTTGTGTCGTTATTCTTATTTTATTTTTATTTAAAAACTTTAAATTTATATCACATTATATTAATTTTTACCATTCATTAAACACTTGATAAAATTTTAAAACTTTATCAACTCAACTCTTTTCAAGTTATTTATAGACATCATTTTCAATTTTTAGTTTTTTATTTTATAAATGCCTATAAAATTTTATTCATTAGATCAAAAAGTTCAAAAATTTAATACAAGTTGAAAAATATCAAAATTACACAGGCACGTTTTTTTTTATAACCGTTTAAAGTTCAAGTTTTGAGAAAATTTATTAAATTGAAAATATTGAAATTATTTAGTTGAAATATCCTTTAGGTAGTCTGACAAACTATAGCTACGCTCAGAATTATTTTTCATATATAATAATGATATTATATCATTGAATTAAAAATGTAATACTATATCCATTACAGGCATTACAGCGATGACCCACTTGTACAGCAGAATGGCATCCATATACCCGCTTTTTATTCATGCGGAGCTACGTGCTTTCGAGGTTTCTATCTATTTAAAAAATATCATTGTAACTCTTAACAAATAATATTAATATGATATTTTCTAAATATTTCAGTTTATGGAATCATTTTAAATTTTAATATATTTTAAAAATATACATTTATAACCTATATTATAAATAATAAAGATATATATATATATATATATATATATATATACATAATACTTTCTTTTTTTCATTGATCTATGCCCTGCCTTAACTATGGCCATTAACTGTTTGTAAGGGAAAACGGTTGGTTTTGAACACATAATATGAATGCGTGTGGCTATAGAATTTGTTGTTAAAAACTCGGGTAGTCACCCATCCGAGAGCTTTATAGCAACACCAGCAGGTATACATAATATACTCTCAGAGCGTTTCCGCAATTGAGCGTACGACCGCGCCATACCAATAATAAGCCATGGTACGATGGTACACATAATAATATACTATATTATGCAATCATCATTATTTTATTTGAGCTGTATATAATAATAAATAATATATATCATATAGTGTATTATATTTCTTAATAAACCGATATTCCTATACTGTATATCCTATTATATTTGTATGGGTATATAATTATAATTTATAGTTCTATATTTTTTAAATATACCTACTCCAAATGTAAATTTTAACATAGATGGCAGGTATAGTGCGCCCACTCAAAAAAAACTCTTACTGGCCTCTATAATAATTCATGATACGACCTAATAACAATATAAGCTACACCTATAATAACTGTTTTTATTATGAAGAATATGAATTAATAATTARTAACTTATAATAAATTACAAGTATAAATAAATAGATATTTATATATAAAGATACCTACTTCTCGAAAACTTATTTTATCGTCACAGTCTTCGTCGACTTCCTTGATCATGGCTTTAAGCGCCAAGTGAGTTTGTGGAACACCCAGCTTTTCCATCATCCGTTTCAACTCTCCCAAGTCTAGGTATCCGTCTTTACCAGTATCAAATCTAAAAAAAGTTTAAGAAATGTCTTTTAACACCAATATATACTATATAGTGGGCATATATACCTAGGTATATATTACAACAATCCAATACCTATGTATAAAATAAATTTAAATAATTGAAGACATTTAGATTAATTATAATCAATATTATTAAGATATTTTCATCTTCCTAAAATTAAAGAAATGTGGACATTTTTGTTATTATTATTGTAGTTGTTAATTTTTCCAAGCCCCTCTTCGACCGTCAATTAACCAGTCTAGTTACGATAATAATAATATTCTACAGACTACGTAGAGTTACGCAATTATTATAAATCTTTCCGTAATTTTTGTTATAATGGAAATCCAGATAATTGTATTTATGTAGATTCCTTTATCTTCTAATTCCTTTGGTTGATTTTATAATTGTATAGTAATCGAATGTTGTCGCGACCAAAAAAACGACAATAATTATTAGATGTATTTTTCAGAAAATAATATAGTATAATATTATTATTGCTACAATATTACCAAAATATCTGTATCAAAATTAGTTACATGCAGATAATCGGTTCGATGTTTTAATTTCGTATTTATTATTAACGTATTAACTCGTTAAATTGGATAGTTCTTCAAAACATTTTCATAAATATAAGTAAAAAAGCGGGTAAGTCGTGGATGTCGCTCTGCTGTACAGTAGGTTACAAGTGRGTTACTGTAATGGATGGAATTAAATCTGAATCCAATGATATTATATCATTGTATACGAAACACGATTCTGAGCGGAGGCGGTTTATCTGTCTAGGATATATTATAGATTATTAAAATTTTCAAATCTTAGATTTAAAAATAACAAATTTATGAATTTCTAGCTTAAAATAATTTGCGAATTTTCGTGATTTTTACGCATATGTCATCGAAATTCAATAGCTTTGAATGCTTATAAAAAAA